GAGGGAGGAGAAGGAGAGAAGAGAGAGAGAAAAGAGGGGAGAAGGGAAGAAATTAGAATCAATAGGAGTAAAAACCAACTACTCAGACTGGTAAACGAGAAACGGTTTATGTTGAAGCGAGCAGGTTAAGACTCCCCGCGTTGTGTGTCGAGATGATAATCATTAATCATCTGGCAGCTTTCACAGCGGTGCGCGCGCTCTCCGCCGCCTTGTTATCGTCACGAGTCGAACCCCCGACCCACGCGCAATTACCGTGCGCAGACGCTCTTGACCCGCGAGTGTTTTTCCCTTGTCTCTTGCTCTCGCTCTTGCTCTTTCTCTTGCTCTTCTTTGTTTTGCACTTGAATTTGCTCATTTTCTTGCTCTTGCTCTTGCTTTTGCTCTCGCTCTTGCTCTCTTTCTCTTGCTTATCTTCGTGTTGCACTTGATCTTGCTCTTTCTCTTGCTCTCGTCTTTGCTCTTTCTCTTGCTCTTCTTCGTGTTGCACTTGATCTTCCTCATTTCTTGCTCTTCTCTTCTCTTTCTCTTGCTCTTTTTCTCTCTCTTGCTCTTGCTCTCGCTCTTGCTCTTTCTCTTCTTCGTCTTGCTCTTTCGGTTTCTCTCTCGCTCCTCCTCTTTCTCTTGCTCTCGCTCTTGCTCCTCTCTGCTACTACTTTCTCTGCTTCCTTGCTCTTGATATCTGTCTTGGATCTTGAGTTTGCTTCTCTGCTCTTCTTCTTTTAGGTTCCGTTATCTCTTCTTTGTTCTCTTGCGTCTCGGCCTTTCTCTTGACCTCTTCTCTTCGTTTTCTCTTCTATTCAGTTCGTCTTGCCTTCCCCTTTCTTGCTTTTTCCCCTCTGCTCTTCTCATTTACTTTCTCTTTTTTTCACTGATACTATATATATAATATATTAATATACTATATAATAGTATATATACACACATAACATACATACATACCACACACCCACACACACACACCCACACCACACACACACACACACAACACACACCACACACACAACACACATATATTTATATATACTATATAATATATATAATACATATATAATATATATATACACATATATATGCATATAATATATAAATTATACATATAACATAATATACAATATATATATCATACAATATATATACATATATATACATTGCCTAAATATATATATAAATATATTATATTATATAAAATTATATAATATATATATACTTATATATATATAGTAATGGTTGTGTGTGTTTCCTGGTATCACTGCGCCTATATGAGTATATGGTATGATATATATAATTATACTATATATATATATTATTAATAATATAATATAGTGTTATGCTTGTGTGATAGGAATTATTATATATATATAAATATATAATACTTATATATGTATGTATGTATATATATTATACATATATAACATACGATAATAAACAAACATATATGTATCATATATACTTAATATACATATATATATATATATTATAGCACTACATATATATAATATATACATACATAATATAAGTGTATAATACTGTAGACTATATATATCTGTAATGCTCCATATATAATGTATAATTTATAATGCATATATATTATATAAATATGACCACGACTATATATATATATGTATGTATATATACAATATTATATATAACAATTCATCTGTAATATAATGCGGTTATATATATACATACACTAATAACATATGTTACTACATACATATATGATAAAAAAATATATTATATACATATATGACATACATATAATACATACATACATGTATATTATATGTTATATATATACATACTAATACATATTAATATATATACATATATATTACATACACTCTTATATATATACACTACAACATATAATATAATAATATATATATATCATATATATATTAAACAAAATATATATACATACAATATGAATATACATTATATATATACATACATAATATACAGTATATTATTAACATAATCAACCATATATATATTACATATATATACATATCCATATATATATACATAATATATACATTACAATATATGTTATACATATATATATACCATACACATAATATACATAACATATACTTATATACAATACAAGTATACTACACTACCATAATATGTAATATACTATTATAACATATTATGTATATATAGTATATATATAATGTAAATTATACATGTAATACATACATAACTATATACATACATTATATACCATAGTACTATACATATGTAAATATATATATTATATAGCGTATATATATGATATATGTAAATTGTATAATAGCTATAATATATGTTATATTATAATGTATCCATATATAGCATATATATGCCATATTATATAATATTATAATATTATATAATGTATATATTATAGTATATGTATATATCTAATTAATATATATATATGTATATAAACCATATATATTCATACATTTATATATAAGAATATATATCATATATATATATAAATATACATATATAT